CCAAAAACAACCAGGAAAAAAAGGTTAAAACAGAAGAGTGTCTCTTCTGAACAAGAAAAAAAAAAGATCACATCCGCATCCAGTTCTTGGGGGTGGAGTGGGGGATTTTTATTTTTTGCCTTGTTTTGCTCTTTTAAAAAAACCGTCCCCCTGAACACCAGAAGCTGCACACCATCATCATTCACCTGCTGCGCCCCCCATAGACCCAAATCCCTTCTTTCCCTTCCTTTGAAACAAACAACCACCCCCCAATCCTCCCATTCCTGCCTTCTGGATTACAATGAAAGAAAGCCAAGTTTTTTCTTTTGTGGTCTTTACATATTTAAATTGCTAGAAGGTAGTGGGGAAGCAAGCCATCATAAGACACTCTTCTGTTTTAACCTTTTTCCCCTGTCGTTTTTTGGAGTTTTCATCCTGCTTTCTTGAGAGGGCAGCTTTTGGGGATTTGAAGCTGTCCCCTCCCCCTCCCCCAAGCCACAGTGGAGGAAGACATCTGCTGCCCGCCTGGCCACGTTCTTCCTCCTGTCCTAGGTTTTTGTTGTTGTTAGCAGTTCTGCTGAGGATTGGCAGCGAGGGTATGTGTGTTTCGTTTTTATTCCCCTCCCTGTCTGCTGGGTGGGTGCAGCAGGTTTTGGTCATTTCTGTTGTGGTGGAAGATTACCCACGAAGCATGTTTGTTTGGGGGGGGGGGATCCCCACTCTGGTTACTAAGTTTGCTTAAATCCTCTTCCTCCACCTCCTCCTCACCGGAGCCCCCCTTTGTTTGCAACGGTGCAGCAGGAAGACTCCTGCCAAGCTAGGGATGATGGGGATCTGCCCTCTGCGGAGTAGGGGCAGGGCTCCAAATAGGCGCTTCTTCTGGGCTCAACAGACGCGCCAAGATCAGTGCCAAACTCCATCTGATCAGCACTTCTTCTGGGCTCAGCAGACACACCAGGATCAGCGCCGAACTCCAGCTGATTGGCACTTCTTCAGGGCTCAGCAGAAGCACCAGGATCAGCACTGATCCTGGTGCTTCTGCTGAGCCCTGACAGCCCCGAAAAAGTGCCAATCAACTGGAAAGCAGCACTGATCCTGGCGCTTCCGCTGAGCCCTGAAGCGCCGATCAGCTGGAGCCCAGCGCTGATCCTAGCGCTTCTGCTGAGCCCTGACAGCCCTGCAGCTCCAGCCTTGTGCGGTGCTGCCGCCAGTTCACCTCATTCCCCTCCCCCACTACACTTCTCTAGGATGGTCGCGTACCACCTGCCAGGTGCCAATGTACCACAGGTGGTACCCGTACCACTGGTTGAAAAGCCCTGACTTAGGGAGTGCTATAAAGTACTATGAAACGGTATATAAGTCTAAGTGCTATTGCTATAAGAACCATTAATCTCATTGCAACCCCAATAGCATGACAATTTATATATTATAAATGTATTATATTATATTTATGTAGTCTTTTCTATATAAATGCAAAGTCCAACAAATCTGAAATATTTTTTGGCATTGAATAAGACATAATTTAAGATTTACTAAAGTTTTGGTACTGATATTAAAACTACTCCCATGCCCTAATCTAATTCTTTTTTCCATTCAGCTTTTTAAGTTTTATATCAAATTAATTCACCACAACAGGATTTTATAGAGGGCAATTATAATGGTTTGGGGGTCATAAGATTTAATGTTTGTAGTTGATTATGTTTATTAGGCTAAAATGTCACAGGTCCAAACTGGAACATTAATAGATGTTGTCACTGTAAATACTGCCATTGAGCTGCACTAGCAAATAATACTTGTCGCATAATGCAAAAAATAAGCATTCATCATTTTCATCTACTCATTGCTTCCTATCAAATATTTTCATATATATTCCCCCATAATTCTGAGATTTGTATTAGGATCAACTTAGAATGACGAAAGGGATCAAAATGCTAACAGTCTTCTTACCGGGAAAGGCTCTGCCCCTTCTTGAATGACAAAGCCCTCTATGATATGTGTAAGGATCTGAGGCTTGACAATGGCTTGTGGAGGTTTGGAATCTCCAGTTTGACGTGACAACACAGCCAGTGTAGGAACAGAAGCAATTGTTGGATTTGCAGAGTTGGGGTCACTTGGGGATGCATTTAAAGTACCACTGGTGAAAGAGTCAGACTTCTCTAAAACAGAAACATTAACAAACTAAAATTTAAACCTGCTATATATTTAACAAAAAGGATTAGTTTTATAAAATTAAATCCATGTATTTATTGTTAAATATAATTCCATGTTGGAATTGCATACATTGTTAAACCTTCATATATTTAGTTAGTTAGTTATCATATTATTTGATTGATTGAAATAAAAAAATTGAAACACTGAAAAGTATAAAATAAAGCTAAAAACAATAACAGGTGATGTTAATAATAATGGAGCCACTTCACTAGTTTGCTGGTCCTCCAGGGTTCTCAGGCATAACCAAGTCTTAAGACCTTTGAAAATTCAGACATGATGGAGTCAGCATGATTGTATTTGTTTATCAGTATTTAACCCCCTTTCAGAATTTGAGATTCAATACCAGTTGGGATGACGTAGCAGGGCAACTACTGCTCATGACAATTTCTTCCTAGGGGGGTCTCAAGTGTTGTTCCCTACTTCACATGTCAGTTTCTACTCATAGGAAATCACATGCTGATTGAGGACCAGAGAGAACAGCACAATTATGAGCCATGGAGGGGAGAAAATTATATGTGGAAACAAAGCTTGATCCTAAGCATTTCCCAAGATTCAGAGGCTTTACTATATTTCTTGATATAGCATCATTAAGATTCTATTCATGTACAAATGCCTCAATCCCCAACTAGAAAAAACTTGTGATTACCTCTATAGTTATCTGATGTCTTATATGAATTCACACATATGGGTTTGTGCCTACATACCTATTCAAACAGATAGGCACCCACTGTCCTCAATATTGCACTTATCATTTCACTCAGTTTTGTCAGTTCTTTCAGGTAAGCAAAGTCAAGAAATAGACATCAAAGAAATAGGAATAGGAATAGGAATAGAATAGAATAGAAGCTGGAAGGGACCTTGGAGGTCTTTTACTCCAGACCCTTGCTCAAGCAGGAGAACCTACATTATTTCACACAAGTGACTATCTAGTCTCTTCTTAAAAACCTCCAGGAATTTTCTCCACAAAGAGGGGGTCAAATTATTCTCCAAAGCACCAGAGGGCAGGACAAGAAACAATGGTTGGAAACTGATCAAAGAGAGAAGCAACCTGGAATTAAGGAGAAACTTCCTGACAGTGAGGACAATTAACCAGTGGAACAGATTGCCTTCAGAAATCATGAGTGCTCCATCACTGCTTAGAGGACCTCCAAGATCCCTTCCAGCTATTCTATTCTGTTCTGTCCTGTCCTGTCCATGTGGATGTTGTACTATTGAGGACCACACTATTGAGTATAGTTTGTCAGCCAGCTACAAATCCATCTGGAGGTGATGTTGTCTATTCCACCTTTTTCTAGCTTACCAAGCAGTAGATTGTGGTCTACTTTGTTAAATGCTTTACTGAAATCTAAGTATACTATGTCCAGAGCATTTCGCTGGTCTACTAATTTAGTCACTTCAACAAAGAATGAAATAAGATTGGTTTGACATGATCTGTTTTTAACAAACCCGTGCTGGCTGGTAGTTATAATTTCGTTTGCTTCTAGTTGTTCGCAAATCTGTTTTTTGATTATCTTTTCCAGGATCTTCCCAGGTATTGATGTTAGACTGATTGGGCTGTAGTTTTCTGGGTCTGTTTTTCTTTCTTTCTTGAAAATGGGAACCACATCAGCCCTTTTCCAATCCTCAGTTACTTCCCTAGCACTCCAGGATTTTTTAAAGATATTTTGCAATGATTCTGAGATAACATCTGCCAGCCCCTTCAGAACTCTGGGATGTAATCTGTTGGGTCCTGGTGATTTATATTCGTCAAGGTCGGATAGGTGTTCTCTTACCATTTTCTTATTTTAATTTTTGTTTTTAATTTGTCTTTTACAGTAGTTTTTTTTAACATGTTGGGCTATAATTTCTTTTTGTGTGAAGACTGATGCAAAGAGTTAAGCAGCTCTGCTTTCCCCCTACTACCTGTTACTTCCTTGCCATATTCTCTGTTTAGTCAACCTACAGTTTCCTTGTCTTTTTTCTTGTTATTAATATGTTGAAAGAAACATTTTTATTATCCTTGATTTCTGTTGCAAGTCTTTGTTCATTTTGAGACTTTGCTTTCCTGATTTCATCTTTGCATGTTCTGGCTGTCTGCTGATAATCAGCCTTAGTTATGTGTCCTTCTTTCCATTTTTTGTACTTGCTATTTTGCTGGTGATTTCCTCCTTACCCCAATTTCTTCTTTTCCTTTATCCTTTCTATCTTCCTTATCTAAATTTCTGCTCCTTTTTCCCCCTCTCCTTGTTCCTTCCTATTTAGTTTAGTAACTTCTCTCCCCATGATCTGATACTGCTTCCTACACTGCCACCATCTTGGCAAATGCTAAAACTCTACTTAGCCTATAACAAAATCTTGAAAACCTGACTGTATTTCCCCTTCCTTTCCTCTTATACCAATAAGACTCAAAACAGGGCAATGTTATCTGGTATTCCTGGATAATGTTCATGGTTTACTAATGGTTGCTTCATATTTTCTATTTCTGTGTATTTTATACATTCTGAAGGGCCTAACAGCATCCTGAAATCAAAATGAACTCAAGTGGATGGAATGTGTGAATTTAGATGCTCACACAGTTATTAGTAAATACACAATTCTTTACTGTTTTTTATGACTTACACAAACTGGTAAGTAATATCTAGCTACCCGGATTCAAAGGGGAAAGATTATTTAGAATGTGTCTGTACATTATACCTGTCAGGTCTCCTTTAAGTCATCTTTTTTCCCAAGATCAAGTAGCTCAGATGCACAAGTCCCGAAAAAAATGTGGAATACCAATGCTACAAAATTACATGACCATGCATGCTTAGATCACATTTTTGCACTATGTCTGGATTGATGCACAACCCAATTAAAAAAACAAGCTAACGTTATTTGGGGTTGGGCATGGAGTAATGACAATACTAATGGATAGGACAGCTCTGCCAAACTCCACAACCTGATGAGGTGAAGATCCAAGTGTCAGATGAAACTGGAAAGTTGAATCTATACCTGTTATTGTGAAATAGGATGCAAGTACTTGATTAAATCATAACATGGCATCATTAAAGCTACAGGTACTCCTTGACTTACAACAGTGTTTAGTGAACGTTCAAAGTTATAACAACACTGGAAAAAGTGATTTATGACTGCTTTTCACACGACCCTTGTAATATCCCCATGGTTACATGATCAAAATTCAGGTGTTTGGCAACTGACTCATATTTATAACAGTTGCAGTGTCCCGGGATCACATGATCCCCTTTCTTCTGACAAGCAAGATCAATGGGGAAGTCAGATTTACTTAACAACCGTGTTACTGACTTAACAACTGCAGTGATTCACTTAACAACTGTGATGAGAAAGGTTGTAAAATGGAGCAAAATTCATTTTACAACTATCTCACTTAAGCAACAGAAATTTTGGACTTAATTGTGGTCATAAGTTGAGAACTACCTGAACCACCCAGTTTGCAAGATACTGGGTAAAATGAGACTGCCTTTCCAAAGTCCAGAGCAGAGACAAACAAATGCTGGTTTTCCCACTAGGAGACAGTATAAAAAAGTTAGACCACCACCAGAGACACTGTATGTGCTTGAGCCTTTCCAAGATAATTTGGGAATCTGAGAAAAATGCAAAGAGAATTAAGTACTTTTTCAACTAAAAAGTGAATATAAAAGAAATACTGTGTTTATATGGTAGGTTCAAAAAGTCCAACCAAACCCAGAATTTATGAGATGTCTTACTCATATAATAGACATCCAAAAAGATGTCTTCCATTTCAAAGGGCAGGCAGTTATAGCTTCAAAGTTTTTATACCAAAATGGGTAAAACCAATGACAAACTCAAAGATAAAGAAAAGGACAATAGGCTGAGTTTTAAAAAAAAAATTCAAAACTCTCAACTGGATGCAACAATTCAAAACTGAAGATATCACAGCAAAGTGCACCTTTAAAGAATAAAATGAAAATTGTTTGATTTGAGCCACAAAAGAAAATCTAAAATGTGAGAAACTTGGGCAAAACTAAGGAAAAACTTTGTGAGCAAATAGAAGGAATGAGATTTATTTCATTTTGCACTCTGCAAAATTTGAGGGTTGTCACATCAATAGAGCACATATTGAGTGTAGGTCAGACTGAACAGGAAAGTGGACACTGTTTATACCCAAATGGAAGAAAAGTATGCTAAAGAAGGCTAAAACTAAAACTTCATTAGAATGCAGTCAGGACTTTCCTGAAGAACCTTGGCTCTTTTCTGAACAACCAAAGGAAGTGTCACAAACACGTAAGAAAATTTCAGGATCACAGATCTGTGACTGACATTCCCTTCCTAGTTAGTGACTGAAGAATTTATTTATAGCTCCTCATCATTCACATTCAATGTCTAGGAATTCAAAAATGTTGTCCCAAACTATTTCATGAACATTGTATACCTGGCTATGCTCCTTTCTCATAATTGAAACTGAAGCAAAGGTGACATTTGTTTAAACAAGCTATTACAAAATTGTTCATAATCACCCGAATAATATGTTCTCTAAGCAAGCTGTTTGAATGCCTACAAACTCTTGTAGATAGCAGATAGCACAGCTTTTCCTCCCTATCTACTGGGCATGAGAATCTGCCTCTTGGTGTAAGAGATGCAGATGATCAGCACAGTAGACCAGAGGTCCCCAACCTTTTGAGCACCAGGGACCGGTTCTGTGGAGAGAAGTTTTTCCGTGGACCGGAAGGTGTGTGGTTTTGTGTGCTGCCTGCATCCCACGGATGGGGCTTTGCTTGTTTGTGCGGACTGGTTGCTGGCATGCCACAGCTCGGTACTGGTCCATGGACTGGGGGTTGGGGACCTCTGCAGTAGACTGTTTGGGGCTGGTAAAAGAAGTTCCCTTCTGAAGGTTTTCATGTTCATCTAACAAAGCAGGTAGGTAAAAATCTCCCATGTAAAAAGGAAGCAGAGGAGGGAAGGGGCGTTGTCTTACCTGAATGGCTTT